ATGCCGTTACCGGGGAGTTTACTGTAAGTGTGTGTGGCATTTAGCTGCTTCCTCTGTGTGTGTGTGTGTGTGTGTGTGTGTGTGTGTGTGTGTGTGTGTGTGTGTGTGTGTGTGTGTGTGTGTGTGTGTGTTTTACTAACTGCAGTTAAAACACACAAAGTGTTCACGGATGGTTGAAAGATTCTCCGCTGCGCTCCAATCTCGGTGTGTGTGTATTTTTACCTTCTGTCCCACTTCCTCATGTGACTCACCTTGTGACATCACAGCACGATGTCATCGCTCCGAGGCGTTGGGATTGGTCCAAAGCCGAGGCGGTCTCACGTGTCTGTCTCCATGCCAGGCTTAAAATCTCACAGTTAGATTCAGCTTCACACAGGAGGATGTGTTGTGGTTTTTGTTAAGTTTTATTTTAAAACTTTAATCTGGTTTATCTGCTCAGGTAAGACCTTCCTGCGTGTGAATGGAAACGCACAAATAAAATAAGAATAAGAAAATAAGACTTTATAATGAAGTTTTTGTTAGACTTCTGTTTTTGTTGAGGAAGTGCGTAAAGAAAAGTTCTGGTTTATTTATACTATTTAATTTGATTTATTCAATTGTGCTGGCAGAATAAGTTTATTTTTAGCAGATTCAGTCATCTTCAGTAAAGTCTGTGTCTTTAGAGATAAATTACACTTTTTTTAAGAAAAACATTCAACTCAGTCAGTTTTTAGAGAAATTTCTTGTTTTCTGTTAAGTTACTTTTTCATATATGTATTTTAGGGATGAAAATATATTATCAGACCACTCAGGCTTTTTTGTGAGCCTGATTGTGGTTGCTAATTATGGCAGACCATATATTCATTAATTGACATATCTCTAATTATATTTTGACTTGGCAAAATACCTATTTAAGATTTATTTAATTACATTCTGACTAGATTATGTCAGATTTACCATCAATTTTTTTAAATCAATTATCTTGCTTTTTTGTTCTGACTTGCCATAATTTAAAGAAATCTTAAATAACATCATTAATCAAAATATCTTAAATATTTATTTTAAATATCAGACAAATGAAATTAGTGGAAATTAAAACTGCAGATATCTTGAAAGCAAATAATGACTCAGCAAAACTAAGTTAGAGATATCTAGAACTGTAATTTAACAAGTCAGTTTTCCTTTTACGATCTCATGTCTCCAGTTAAATTAGATATTTTTTTTCATTTAGGTGGCTTTTCTATTTCAGATATCTAGAATTAACTTTCTGATTGATAGTTACTCATGGTCAAAACTTATTTTTAGATATTTAGAATGTAATTACAGATAGTCAGATGGAGTCGATTTTATGCCAAAATGGCCTGCCATAAATAAATACCTTTCTTTAATTTCTACTTAAAATCAGTTTCTGTTTCTAGGTCAACAAAGCACAAATAAAGCAGAATAAATCGTAGTTTAAAGAGTTAGAAAGTGCTTTTCTCTGTTCTTTTCTTGTTATTTGCCTCGGGTGAATCCTGCATTGCCGTCTGGAGTCCCGTCTCAGAAAAACGTTTCTGATGTGAGCTACCAGGAAATATTGGTGTCACAAACAGTTTTCTGGCAGCTTCAGCCGGCAGGATGAGCAACGCGTTTTCCACGAGTTCATGGCCGGTCCCCGCTGACGAGAAAATCTCTTTTTATTGGAGGAACGTTTAGTCTTTCTGCGTCTGTTTTTAGCTTCTAATAGAATTTTCTATTTTGGTCAAAGTGAATAATTTAGTTGACAGTGTTGATTTACAGTATGTGATGAGTCAGGAGTAAAGCAGAAACACACACAGAGCTGGTAATACCAAGTTAAAGTTCTGGAGAAACTGAATTCTTTGTGCACGAGGCTGTCACTCTGTAATTAGTACGAGTGTGTTGTTTTATTTGTGCAGCTCTGACCTACATAGACCCTCCTGGTGGGTCTCTGTGTTCAGTGAAGCCTTCAACAGATCAGGTTAGCCTCCAGTTTGTGTGTGTTTGTGTGTGTGAGAGGGCGTTGTGAGGCCAAACCGGTCATTATAAAGTCTTTTTTCTGCCTCTCAGCTGTGTGTGCACTGCAGGTTGTAGTCGCACTTCAAAGTGTGTGTGTGTGTTATCTTTTGACCAAGACGCCTTTAGCTCTGAGTCAGTACACACACACACAGACAAAATTCAGGACACACTATGATTGAGTCAGCTCAGTGTGTGTAGATCAAACGGACCACTCTGAGCAAATGGAAACTCTCTGCCTATTCATTGTTTTTATTTTAGATCATTTTAACATTTTAATGCTTCAGTAAAAGAAGCAGGTTTGTTGAAACGACGTCTCCTCCCTTTGTAATTACAAAATAAAGTAAATATTTGTTTATCTTTAAAGAGGGTTTGATTTACAGAAGTCACGTTAAAGGACAAAAACTGAAACAACAATTAAAAGTCAATACTCAAACAAGAAACAAGAAGTTGGTTCCAGAAAGGATTCTGACAACTGTAAGCTCCGCCCACTATTTTAGAAAAATCTTGGAACCATGAGTAAGCCTCAGACTAAGAACATGGAAACTTTCTGCCTATTAATTGTTTTTATTTTAGATAATTTTATCATTTTAATGTTGCAATAAAAAACATCAAAAGACCGGGGAGGATCCTAACCGTAAGCTCCGCCCACTATTTTATAAACTTTAGGAACTGCAAGTAAACCAGCAGTCTGAGAGCTCACTTGAGAAAATATGGAACAATATGATCTTTAAAATAACACAAAAATTTAAATGGCTGGTTTGTTATTGCTTGTCTCTGATTGGTTATTTGATCAGGCCTAACCCCCGCCCCCACCCCCGATTGTTTTGTTTTTGTGCAGGAGTGGCCGGCTGCAGCATCTCTGAAGATGTCTGATAATGGGGAGGTTGAGGACAAGCCCCCAGCTCCTCCCATGAGAAACACCAGCACCCTGATTGGTTCCAGTAACAAAGACCCCGCCCCCCTCAACCATGGCTCCAAGCCCCTCCCACCAAACCCAGAAGACAAGAAAAAGAAGGACCGCTCAATTCGGTTCATCCTGACGGGAGGAGGCGATAAGAGTGAGTTCTGTGTTCTGAAGCAGAGTGAATATCGTGTTTTCTGATCATAATAACATTTTTATTTATTTATTTTTTTCTCATGAAGCAAAAACTGTTGAGATAAAACCTAAAATCACAAAAAGGATGGAATCAGATTAAATGTCAGGTCAAGGAACAAAATAAAAATATAACCTGGAATTTTTAACTGAAACATTATTATTATTATTATTATTATTATTATTATTATTATTATTATTATTATTATTATTATTATTATTATTATTATTATTATAAAAGCTTTGTTCTGTTTCTTAAGTGACTTGTTATTGTCTTTATTACAACAAAAATAAATGATCAAAATAACTGCAACTTCTTGTCTTCCTGCACAAATAACTTTCAGTTCAAAGATGTTTAATGTTAAAATTTTTAAAGACTTTTAATTGTTGACAGTTTCTGCTCAAATATGGTGTTAGTTTTACTTCTTACACAGACTTTAGGACAAATTTAGGATCAAAAAAGTCAAATTAGTTAAACCTCTTTGATTAAAACAGGAAACTCTAATGATCCTAATTAACACCGTCTTCTGCTCCACAGCTGGTGGTGATTATCAGAGCATTAACTGTTTGTTAATGTTTATTAAAGCCGACGCGCAGGCCGACCTTTGACCCCAACAGGTGCTGCTCCCGTCAGATGGTCGGCACCCTGTAAATCACTTTAAAACAGAAACACGGCTTTTATTTTCAGAAAGAATCTCCTCAAACATTCAGAAGAAGAAGCTCTTGGATCATGTTGTTCTTGATTAAATATTTCTGAGCGTTCATTCATGTGTTCTTTGTTCTCTTCAGCCTATAAGAAGAAGGAACGTCCAGAGATCTCTCTGCCCTCAGACTTTGAACACACGATCCATGTTGGCTTCGATGCCGTTACCGGGGAGTTTACTGTAAGTGTGTGTGGCATTTAGCTGCTTCCTCTGTGTGTGTGTGTGTGTGTGTGTGTGTGTGTGTGTGTGTGTTTAAAGTTTTCAACTGAAACAAAGTGTGTGTCTGGTATTTGGTAGCAATTAAAGACCGGATAATGAAGAACCCATATTCACTGTTGTGTCATGTGTGTAGATAGATGTTTGTGAATTAGATACACAAACACAAAACACACATACATATATGCACACACACACACACATACACACATTTGGCATAATAAACCTTTTTAAATAATCACATTAGACAAAGACGCCTTATTTAGCTGACTCACTTGATCCGCCTGACCAAGCTCTTTTAGCTGGGAGTTAAACTCTTCAGTGTGTGTGTGTGTCTGTGTCTGTGTCTGTGTGTGCTTGTTGTTTCCCTTTCTGTAATCTGGGTCATTGTTCATTATGCAAATATCTACATGCAAAGAAACATTTATCAACTTTATGTGAATCCACACTGTGAAAACATCAGAGAGAGAAAGGATGGAGGGATGGTTGTAGTTGTACACTTCTCATATAAAGAGACATATCACCACAGTAATACCTGTATGGGTTTTGTGTGTGTGTGTGTGTGTGTTCATGTGTGTGTGTGTGTGTGTGTGTGTGTGTGTGTGTGTGTAAACAGGGCATGCCGGAGCAGTGGGCCCGGCTCCTACAGACCTCCAACATCACCAAACTGGAGCAGAAGAAGAATCCTCAAGCTGTCCTCGATGTTTTAAAGTTCTACGACTCGAAGGAAACGGCCAACAGCCAGAAATACATGAGCTTCACTGGTGTGTAGACACACACACACACACACACACACACACACACACACACACACACA